ACTGGAATTTGTGATCCTCCTGCCTCAGCCTCTCAGTGCTGGAATTACTAGGATGTGCCACTATGACCCGTTTATTTTTCCTTAATGTGACAAAACACTTGACTTTTTTTTTTTTTTCCGGTACCAGGAATTGAACTGATGACCTTGCACTTGCCAGGCAGGCGCTGTGCCGCTGAGCTAAATACCCAGTCCCAAAACACTTGACTTTTTGAAAAGCAAACACTATTTAGTGGTAGAAATTGAACCCAGGAACCTCACAAATGCTAGGCAAATGTTCTACCATTGAGCTACATCCCCAGCCCTCAAAGTACTTTTTTTTGGTACTTGGCATTGAACTCAGGACCTTGCACTTGCCAGGCAGGTACTGTGCTGCTGAGCTTTACCCCTGGCCCTCCCAAAGTACTTATTTTGAAGAATCCCCTCCCCGCCCCGCCCCGCTGGAACTCCTTTGGGTCTGTCCCATGCTAGATTCAAGCTTCACACTTCTGGCAGGGCTTCACAGCAGTGGTGCAATGTTCTCCTTGGTGTGCCCAGGAAGCACAGCACACAAGCTTGCTTTGTTCTGTCACTGGAGACCTGGCCAAGCTGGTGTGCACCAGGCTTCTCCACTACTGTAGAGGAACCCTATTTGTCCCTCTGTCATTAAGAAGTAAATTGCGGGGTCTGTTATAGCTTCTACTGATGTTCTTATCTAACTCAGTTATGATGCCAAATGGCAACTGACTGAACTCTACCTCTCCATCTGCCTTTGTTGATAATTATATGGAAGAGCTTTCCCTTCTTCCTCATCTATTTACTCAAGTTACTATTTTACTCAATGGGTTATAAGTCTTTACTCATTTTGATGCCCAAACTGTCCTGGATTTAGCCACTGGGAGCCCTTTCAACCTGTTTCCTACATTGTCCTGGTGTGAGTCCCTCTCATTCTTCAGGTGCTTGATGCCTGCTAGTGTTGCAACAAACTCACTGAAAGAAAAATAGGGAAAGTACACCCTTCACAATAGCAGCCCCAAAAATGAAATACTTAGAAATCAATCTAATGAAGGAAGTAAAAGACCTCTACATTGCAAATTACAGTACTCTGAAAAAGGCAATTGAAGAGGATATCAGGAAATGGAAAGAGATCTCTTGCTCATGGACAGAAGAACCAGCATAGTGAAAATGGCCATATTCCCGTAATTGTTATACAGGTTCAGTGTAATCCCAATCAAAAGATAACTAGCATACCTCACAGAAATAGAGAAAACATTCCTAAAATTCATTTGGAACCAGAAGAAACCTAGAAGAAAGAAATTCTGGGCAACTGTAGAGGACCACCTGGGTGACTCTCCTTGGAGGAGCAACTGTCTCCATTTTGGCTGAACCTGACGCTATTCCCATGGATTGATACATACACAGCTGGCCAGGACTTTTCTTTATCCCTTCAGTTGGCTTTAAGCAATGCAAATCAGTCCAGCTGAGGTGCTGATATCTAGTCTTTGAAGCAAAGATGACAGGGCAGTGTTTCCCTGGTCCCCCGTAGCTCCCAAGTAAAAAGTGTGAGCTGGGCTGAGGCAGAATGGAGCGCCGTGGTCCATGCTGTCAGCTGAGATCGAGCCTCAAAATAAGAGACTATGACTTCCCAGGGAATAAAAGATTACACATCAGAGCTGAAGCACTGACTCCAAAACACTAGATACTACCTCAATTGTGTTATGTAGATTATTCTTTCTGAGCCAGGCATGGGCGCATGCTTATAATCCCAGCAACTTGGGAGGCTAAGGCAGGAGAACTGCCGTGAGTTTGAGGCCATCCTGGGCTACATTAGTGAGACCCTGTCTCAAAAAACAAAACAAAAAAATAAATAAAAGATTATCCTTTCTGCATATCTTCCTCTCTGCATATTGCTAAGGTGATTTCAGGCTTCCTACCTAGCCCAGTTCACAGCACTCACACACTTCCCACCATTCTCACAGTCACTCATCCTCAAGCCACTCCTTTATGAATTAATAAAATCCACGTTTGGCCCTGGTTTGAGGCCTTTGTACCCGTTAGCTATCATTGTGGCTGGACTTAGGACCCCTTGGCTCCTCATAACTACAAATATGCCTTACTGTCTTTATTCTCACCAAGGGTTGCACTGGAAGTGGTAGACTGGAATTAAGTCACTAGAATTCCAATAATTTTTCCATCAGATTACAAATATAAACTCCATGGGCTGCAATGAGGACTGGGAAGGGCTCTCCATAGGCAACAAACACAAGGCAGGACGGCATCACAATTCCTGGTTTGAAGTTTTACTGCAAAGCTACTGTGATAAAGTAGCGGCAAAGTGGGCTGAATTCCACAGAAGACCAATGAACTCTATTTAGGGCAAACAGAGTTTATTGAATTTTAGGCAGGCCACCATGTGTCCCCAACTAAGTTGGGACCCGTCAGTGCTCTGCTAATCTTTGTTCCACTCTTAAATATGTTTTGGGTTTCCATGGTTACAGATTGGGATGTTACGTAGCTGACTCAGGTGGCCAAATGGTTTTTCTCTTATTCCGTGGGACCCAGGTTACATTCCGGTCACAGGTCTAGCCATGATAGATGTTTCTCCCATTATGTGCTGTATGTCCCCCTTTTTGATAACCTTATATTTCCTTTATGGTTACAATGTTTATCTAGGGCCAGGGAAGGAATGAAACAACCCAGGCAGGGTCATAGATGGTTATCTAGGCCTGGGTGTTCCTTACCTGGGGAGACATTCCCAGGCAAAGTTTACAGTTTCCCTGGAAAGTTTCCCAGGATATGTTTTTAGGCCTTTACTAAAACTATTCTATCTAAAATGATATGCTAAGATTCACTGTCCCCTACAATAAAATCAGCATGGTACTGGCAAAAAAACAGACCTGAGGATCAGTGGAACAGATTAGAAGATACAGACACAACTACAAACACACCCAGCCATCTTATCTTTGACAAAGAGACCAAATATGTTTACTGGTAGAAAGACAGCCTCTTTAATAAATGGTGCAGGAAAAACTGGCTCTCTATATGCCAAAGACTAAAACTAGACCCATGTACTAAAGTCAAAATGGATCAAAGATCTAAATATTAAAATAGAAACCATAAATCTACTAGAAGAGAAAGCAGGTAGAAATCTTGAAGACATAGGTATAGCAGATTTCATGAATAAAACCCAAACTGCATGGGAAATACTTCAAAGAATCAACAGCTGGGATCTTATCATCTTTTTTTTTTTTTTTTTTGTACTGGGAATCAAACTCAGGACCTTGCACTTGCCAGGCAGGCACTTATGCTGCTGAGCTATATCCTGGCCCTGGGATCTTACTTTCTTAAAAAGCTTTTGCACATCAAAAGCAGGGCCTGGTGGCAAATTACTGGTAATCCCAACACTCTGGAGGCTGAGACAGGAGGATGATTGAGAGTTTGACACCAACCTGGGCTACAAAGTGAGGTCAGGGCCAGCCTGAACTGCATAGCGAGACCCTGTCTCAAAAACACAACCCACAGAATAGGAAAAAATTCTAGACATCTGTACGTCAAACACAGAACTTACATCTAGAACATACAAAGAATTATTTTACACTTACATATGGTCAAATTGGTATTTTCTTTCATTTGGATTTCTAGTTATACAAATTCTTTCTTTACACCCAGGTTAAAGAAGCATTCAGTGCAGGGTATAGTGGGGTGCACCTGCAGTTACAATTTCTAAGGAACAAAAGCAGGAGGATTGCTTAAGCCCAGAAGTTTAGAGCCAGCTGGCTAACACAGCTAAATCCCATCTCTAAAAAAATGTTTTTCAGTACTTGCATGGTGTAATGTCTACATTTAAATAAATCCCTGGTCTGTTTGGAGTTTTTCTTTGAAGACAGGGTCTTGCTGTGTAGTTTTTTTTTGTTGTTTTTTTTCCGGTACCGGGAATCGAACTGATGACATTGCGCTTGCAAGGCAGGCGATGTGCCACTGAGCTAAATCCCCAGCTTCTTGCTGTGTAGTTTAGGCTGCAACCTTGAACTCACTTTGTAGCCCAGGCTGGACTTAAAACTCATGATGATCTTCCTGCCTCAGCCTCTCCAGTGCTGGAATTTCAGGTGTGCACCATTTCCAGGTATTTTTTTTTCTTCAATTTTTTTTTTTCCAGTATTTGAGACTGAACCTGGGACCTTTTCACTGAGTTACAGCCCCAGCTCCTAAAAAAATTAAAAACAACAAATTTTCAGAAAGCATCTTGCTAAGTCATTGAGTTGCCCAGAATGACCTTCAGTTTAAATTTGTGATTGTCTTGCCTCAGAGTCTTATAATGCTAATATTACAGTTATGAACCACATTACCAAACTTTGCATGTGATTTTGTTTTGTTGTTTTTTGAGACAGGGTCTTGCTGCCCTCAAACTCATGGTGATCCTCCTGGTTCAGGCTCCCAAGTGCTGGGATTACAGGAGTGTGCCACCTTGCTTGGCTGCGTGTTAATCTTTGGTTTCTTTCTTTTTTTTTTTTTTTGGTCTTTTTGAGACAGGGTCTCACTATGCAGTTCAAGCCAGCCTTGAGCTCACTTTGTAGCCCCGGCAGGTCTCAAACTTGAAATGACTGTCCTGCCTCAGCCTCCCTCAGCTGCATGTAATCTTGTTAATGCACATATTTAAGTAAAATTTTAATGACAGCAGGCATGGTGGTACACACCTCTAATCCCAGTACTTGGGAGGTTAAGTTAGGAGCACTGCCCTAACTTGGTGTTTGAGGCCAACCTAGGATACATAGTAAGTTCATGGTCAGCCTGAATTAATAGCAAGACCCTGTCTCAAGAAAAGAAAATTAATGACGAAATTTGTTATTTCCAAGTGTAAAAGTAGAAATACTAGCATTAAGGTTTTCAGGGATGTTAAACACCTAGAAGCAGAGAGGCTTGGCTGCATTCAGCCGTTGAGGTCATCTTTGTGCTTCTAGCTTTACTTGGGTTAACTTTTGATTATAGAGTACCCTGAAATACAAGCTATGGTAGCTGCTCTGAGCGCCACTTCTCACTGTACAATTCCCCGTAGCAGTTTACTGCATCATTGATTGTTCTGACACTTTCAGTTTCCACTTCTTAGGGCAGTCACTAACGAGGACTTCAGCCTCTGTATGAGACAAGGTTAGTGACAATTTTCCTGCGCTCAGCTGGTGGAGGAAATGGGGAGCACCTCTACTGTTCTCTGCTGCTGCCATTCCTGTTCCGGCTAGTCAGGTCCTCATTTGAGATCTCTGTAGGACTGAAGCAAATGGTCCTCATCAGCTTCTACAATCTCTCCTACATTCCTGGCAAGGGGAACAATGTTTTGCTGAAGTTGTGCATTGGCATGTTTGTGAAAATTTGGGGGACCACCACACTGTGGCCAAATATTCTTCCACATGCTCTTACTATTGCTGGTGTGAGCTTCCACCACTGTGGCCCACAGTTTCTCCTGAATGACGGTGACACTCAAGAGGCACACTTCACTGGTTCTGGTCCTCAAGCCATATGCTCAACAATCGCTCCATGTTTTCTACTATGGTACCTCCGCGCTGAGTCTCTTGATGGAGTGGCTATTTGTGACGTCTTTTTTCGTTATCATGTCGTATCATGGCCCCTGTGGTCTTTGGAATTGGACTGAGCTTTTCACTCTTTTTGAATCGTCTCAACACTTCTAGTTTCACGTGAATGGTTAATTGTTTTCTGCTCCCTTTTCGCACGAGGGAGAACAGTTTATTTAGGAGCCGTTCCCCAGGCATTTCTGCCTCTACAGTGTATTAATGTCACAGCAGTCTTAGGAAAGAGAAAATGAGGCTGCGAAGAGCCGCATGTATAAGCCCGCAGAGTTGTGGCACGGTAATCACAGGCTGCCTGTCTCTACTGTCCAGAAACAGGAGGATTCGCGCTCCACTCGCAAGCCGCGAGGGCCCCTTTTGTCAGAGTCCAAATCCCTGCTCAGCGCAGCTACAGGCACATAAAAAAACGGTATGGACTCTTGTGATTCCGGAGAAAAACCAACTAACCACAAAGTGTCACGCAGGAGAGCCATGCAGCAAGCTACGTACCAAACCAGTTCCTTTGTTCAAGAGGGAGCGCAGCACCGAATACCTGGGTAATCCTGTAGAGGCGGCCGACGAGAGTGCGCAGGGCGGGACGCCTGCGTTCATTTTAGCGGCCCTCTTCCCAAGGAGGACGCCGCAGAGAGGCGTCATGGCCGATGCCAGATTAAAAGAAAAAGTATAAAGGCGTTGCTTTCCCCCTGGCGCCTAGGCTAAGTCGTTTGCTCGGGTTTCTGCGCTCAACTTTCTGGAAGGCCAGGGCGACTGCCCAGACCTTAAACAGGCGAGGATGGGGCCAGCCAGAGCGGGCGCCCGCCGACTGCACACGCGCTAGCCCCGCGGCGCCTGCGGGAGTGGCCCTGGGCGTGGCGCACTGTGACCCGAGTCGCTGTGCTGCGCGTGCGCGCGCCAGGGCGCCGCGAGGTCAGGTGATGTCGCGTCGGCTAGTGGCCGCGGCCGGCGTTCGTACGGTAGCCGGGCGGCTCGCCGTGCTGTGGTGCTGCGGCGGCGGCCGCCCAGCAGGCGGCAAGACAGCATGGACTGGTGCGCGGGCCCTCGGGAGCGCCCGGCAGGTGAGCGGGGAAGCGCGGCTCGCCGGCCCTGGGCGGGGCTGCGCTCGCTGCCGCGGTGACGCAATCCGTGTGCGCCGCGGGGTGAGGACGGCGGCGGCCGCTGGCCGGTTCCGGCGGGAGTGGTGCACGCCCTGCGTCTCCGGCCCCGCCCCGGCCCCTCTTCGCCTTTCCCCGACAACCGAGCGCCCTTCCCGCTCGGTCCGCTCTCCAGTGCCAGGGTTGAGGGGTTTGCCTCTGTGTCCCCTTCCGACCGCGAGCATTGCTTTCGCCGGGGCCCCGGGGCAGTAACGCCCCTGTGCTGTGCTGGACAGGGTCGCTCTTACAGCCAGGATTTGGTAGTGGATGAAAAAGAGTCTCGTGAAGCATTAGGGCCGTCTTTATCCAGCGAACATTTGTTGAGCTCGGCTCTAATGCTTTGGTGATAGTGCTTGAGGGCTTGGTGCAGCCTGGTGGGTCGGTATTGCCTTGACCTTGTTTGTGGAAAGGAAAACGCATGGAATGCTGCGTATTTTAAGGGTTCTTTTGTTTCCAGTGGACAGCCGGCACATTAAAATTTGCTATTGTAAGGGCCCTTATAGAATAGCAGACTTGTAAGCATATCATAGTGAAAGCTAGAAATCAATTAGGGGCCTGTAACCACAGGTTCCTACAGCCTGTCACAGCTAGCTGCTGAAAACCTTGACTGTCTGGTTTCAGCTGTTATCCATTAACATGACAGGTCTACGTAACTGTGCTTTCTTCAATTAAGAAAATAAGCACTGACCCCAGCCTGCTTCAAGGCCTTTATGTTTGGGATAAGACCGGCCGAATCAAGGACGCATTAACTCTGCTCGACCCACGCGTACAGTTTCGCCTGGCAGTGTCTGACAACTCTTGTATTCTGTGTGACCAGTCGTGCAGTGACCTTGTGTGCAAACCATATTTAAACTCAAACCTGACTCCGGGCCAGTGATTTGAAAACTCAGTTTTCCTTGGCCCGCCGGAATTACTAATAGCCTGCCTTCGGACTCCTTAGTGCAGAGTCTTCCACTGGTCTCTAATCTGCAACACTATGACACACTTACGTAGAGTTTTTGACCCCAGAAAGGTATGATTTTCAGACATAATGAAATAGGAAGAAAGATTCTGTGAGTTTCTGTCTTAAGGAATAAATTTTCATCTTTTCTATTCATTTGGAAAACGCATGTTAGTATTTCCGGTTTTGTGTCGGAAGCAGAGTCTTGTTTGTGTGCATATTGCCTCAGCATCACAGGGGCCGTTGTGGTTATCAACAGGTGAGTGTAGTTAACAAGAGCTTGTTAGTACCGGACAGGTGTCTCTTGAATCATGAACTGTTGCGGACCTCAGTGCCTTTACGTATTTATTTTGTGGTACTGGAGATTGAAAGCAGGGATCGTTGAGCTACATGGGGTCATAAGGGTTCGGTCAGGTACTGTCCCATTGGTACTGGGATAAGTTGCAACAGGTAGATTCATTCACAGTTAATAAGTTCTTGTTCGCCTTACAGCCTTTATGTTTGGTGGTGTGGTGTCATCACCATTGGTGCCAGCGTTTCATTTATGAGCTTGTTTGGATTTCCCTGATTTTATTTAGGTTGTTTTGCTTTGCTTTTTTGAGACATGGTCTTGGTATATATAGTTCAGGCTAGCCTTGAATATGTTGTCCCAGCAGGGCTTGAACTTGCAGTGATCTTAACTGCCTTCTGCCTTCGAAGTGCTGGAATAACAGGTGTGCAACACCATGTCTGGCTTATTTTTTTGAGACAGGTCTTGATATGTAGTTTTGACAGGGTCTCACTATGTAGTTTGGGCTGGCCTTGAACTCACTATGTAGCCCAGGCTGGTCTTGAACTCTCAGCATCCTCCTGCCTCAGCCTCCCTAGTCCTGGGATTACAGCCGTTTGCCACCATGCCCAGTTTTTTTTTTGGGGGGGGGTCTTTTTGAGACATGTAAACATTTTTTGTGCATTTCTGCAGTGAATTTAGTTCCTGTTTATCTTGGTTGAACCACATTTTAGTGGGATATTAAAGCAGATGAATAGGGCAGTAAGTTTATTTCCTAGCCTTTATCCTGTCCCTTTCAGCTTGTTTTGGCCACTGTGAGAACGCTGCTTATATTACAGAAGGAGCTCATCAGCTAATCCTTTTCCCACTTCAGTGCCTCCAGGGAGTCCACCTTCAGCAGCTGGCTCTGCAGGGGAGACTGATGTCATTTTCCCAATGGCTGTGTTCAAAACCACCCAAAGGTACCTGTTTTCTCTGTACTGTCAGTAGCAACATAAGGTGTGTAGCTTCCTTGGAGTGTGTTTCCCATAGTGATAAACAGTGGATGAGGCACATGACATCTAGGTTGCCCCCTCCTCCCTTCCTTCTAGTTTTTCTGTTGTGCTAAACTGTAGCACTTTATCCATACTTTCACCATTTTGATATGTCACTGAGACTGGCAGAAGATGGGGTGGGGATATAGCTCAGCGGCACAAGTGCCTGCCTAGCAAGAGCAAGGTCCTGGTACCAAAAAAAAAAAAGAGAGACTGACAAAAGAGAAGCATTTTCAGAAGAAAGTTGCCTGGTGAATCTTTTGGAACATAGGTGAGCAAACTTTGGTTTCTGCATATCCGATTCTAAGGACCAGCCAAGCCTCATGGTTGGAAAGTAAAACAGATGGCTGGGGATATAGCTCAGTGGCACAAGCACCTGCCTGGCAAGCGCAGTCCCAATTTGATTCCTGGCACCAAAAAAAAAAAAAAAAGGAAAGTAAAACAGAGATGATGTGCAGACTTTAGTTAGTTTGGAGAACAATTATCCATTTGAAGCCTTTCAGCACAGGCCAGGGGCCTGGGCTGTGTGCAGAGTCAGTACTCACAGAACCACCTGGAGACCTGCATCTCCACATTGTAGAAGATGCTCCTCAGCCCTTATCCCAGTATTAGGACCTGGGACTGACTGCTTATTGATTGTGTCAACAAGAAAGGAAAGATAATTGACTTTTCATTCTTCTGATTTGATTGAATTGATGCTTTTGAGTAAGAATATTTTTTCTTTAAAGCCTTTTCATTTCATCCCTAAGGGTTTGAGAAATTCTTTGAGAGGAATGCAAGAAACACAAACTCAGAAAAATCAGTAGCTCCAAGGAAAGGTAAGGCTTTACATCTGAATATTTTTTTAAGTACTCACTCATTTTGGGGTTAATCTTCCTACGGTGTGACAGGGAGGTGGGCCTGTGTGTATGAGCTTGGCCTTCCCACCCTGGTGCTTGTCCATGGGTGCTGCCTCTTGTTCCCTGCTCACCGTGTTCTTTGCTTTCGTCTTCACCGTTCTGTGCCTTCTCAGCTTCTTTGGGTGTAAGCCGCAGTGAATCATCTTTTAAATGAAGTCATGGTTTGGTGATGTGAATTGGGTTTTGGGATTGAAGTCTGTACTTACCAGATGTTTCTCCTGTGAATGGTCCTTCTTAGATACCTGTGAGTATGAAATGGGAAGAAATACATAAAAGCATATCAGGAATTGTGGTAACATACCTTGCTACAAATGGAACACTTCTATGAAGACTTAAGTTTTTTCCTTAAAGTTTATACAAATTTTGGGCTAGGGATTTAGCTCAGCAGCACAGCACCTGCCTGGCAAGCATGAGGTTGAGAGTTCAATTCCTGATACAAAAAAAGAAAAAAAATTTTACAGATTTTTACCATGTCTCGTAATTGACTTTGTTTTTTCTTAGAAACTGGCAAACCAAAGAATGCTGGGTCTGGAGGAGGTGGAGGCAAGAGAGGAGGAAAAGGGGATGATTTTGCCTGGTGGAAACGGATACAGAAGGTTTGTGAGCATCTCAGGACTGGGCCCAGACACCTTGTCACTCTGCCAAAGGATGTGGTGCCTGCAGAGCTGGCGCTCTGTGATCTTTGTCTTAGTCCATTCCTGTCCTGTCCTATGACAAAATACCTTATACTGAGTAATTTATAAACATCATGTGCTCACAGTTATGCAGGCTGGAAGGTACAAGGTCAAGATGCCAGCAGGTCTCATGTCTGGTGAATAGCTGGTCTCAGCTTTCAAGGCATCTTTAATGGCATTTGAGTGCTGCTTCCTCCAGACGGGACAGTGGTGGAAGGGACGAACTTTTTCTTTCGAACCCTTTATCAAGGACAATAATCCCACTCCTGAGCATGGAGCCCTCATTTTCCAAGGACCTTCCCCACTTAATATCACCTGGGGGTAAAGAGCCATTCTGAGTGTTGCAGTGGGGTACACACACAAGCCATAGCAATTTGTGCTAGCTTAGGGCCAAACTCACAAATTACTGCCAAGATTCTGAGACATTAATTTCTTAAGCTGCCTAACCTTGACAAAAGTGAACCTGAATGATGGCTCCAGAGCAGATCTCTTTATGGCTTTCTGCTGCTCCTGGGCTGACTTGTGAGCTGCAGGTATGATGTGTGCTTGTACCTGTATAAAGGTTTTTCTCCAGAGAGGAACGGTTCTGCTTTATCACACACTTGGAGTCCTTTGTGTAGTTTGTGAGGGGATAGTTTGACAGCTCTAGTAATGTCTGAAAAGAGACGTGTTTTCATAAACCACCCTAGGGCTGGGGTATAACTCAGCATGGGCAGGCCCCAGGTTGGGTCTCCAGCACTACAGAGACAAAAAGAAACTCCTCACTTACATGAAAATATGTTATCTTTTTTTTTTAACAGGGAGAGTTTCCCTGGGATGACAAGGATTTCCGAAATCTGGCTGTTTTGGGCGCAGGCGTTGCTGTGGGAGTTTTCTACTTCTATTTTCGAGATCCTGGAAAAGAGATTACCTGGAAGCACTTTGTGCAGTATTACCTGGCCAGAGGCTTGGTGAGGGGACTCAGAGTGTGTAGTGTGCTCCTGCAGGCCTCTACAGCCTGCAAGGGGATATGAGCTCCAGGCTGGGGTGGGAGTCAGTCCTCTGTGTGGTAGAGTTTTGAGTAGCCCTGCTACAGGGCAGAGTCCAGAGGCAGTTTTCCTTTTCTAGAGATTACCATAGCAGAAAGTGTTAAACCCACTTTCTGGCCTGGTAGAGGCTGCTCTAACATCATGGGTTGACTTTTTTAAAACCTGTCCTCTAAGACTTAGTTGTTTGTCCATTAATTATTGAGTTTCAATCTCATGTCTGATTTCTATACTGTGTCGTGGGACCCCTGCTTTGGCTTTTTTTTTTTTTTGAGACAGATTTGTGCCATGTAACCCAGGCTGTCCTTGATCTTGTGGTTGTCCTGCCCCAGCCTCCCAAGTGCTGGGATTATAAGCATGTCCACTACACTGAGTGGGGCTAGGGATTTGTATGGAGGAAGGTGTGGCATGGGCAGTCCTCGTTTACCCTTCACAGAGGCACACTTGTTCATCAGCATGCTGAGGCTGGGTGAAGGCTGCTCGGGCTTCAGTGTAAACTGAAACGGGGACGCTTTGCCTCTCAAGTGCCCTCAGAAGGGTCTGTGCTAAGTGATGTGTTAGATCTGCACTTCTTTGTAATGAGTTCTGTAGTTCAGAGTTTGTGGTCAGGGCTTTTTGTCTTACTACAGGGCCCATGCCTATCAGCAGGGAGGCTCTTGGCAATTTTCCTTACACTAATGGGGGCAGAGCTGCTGCCACCCTTGCCTCCTATGGGTCTGCCACCTGCAGCTGCAGGTGTGAGGAGAGGAGATGGAGGTGGTGAGTCCACAATACCTTCTAGTGCATGGATTCTGGATAGATTCCAGAACCTTTCCTGAGGTCTTTTCCAGTGCAGGAATGCTGATTGTGTGCCTATATTGTTAGGGTTGGAAGGTGTCCCAGTGATAAACACACATGAATCACAATCCTTAGGCTTCATTAACTTTTTTTATTTTTGGAGACAGGGTCTTAGTATGTAATGCAGGTTGGCCTTGAACTCACTATGTAGCCCAGGCTGGCCTCAAATTCACAGGGGTCCTCTTGCTTCAGCCTACCAAGTGCTAGGATTTTTTTTTTTAAAGAAAAAAAATAAAATTTCAAAACAAGATAATAGAGTAAAAATGGTTAATACATTGCATATTGTTATCTTTAAGTTAGTTACTCAGAAAGCTGGGCATGGTGGCACACTCCTGTAATCCCAGCACTTGGGAGGCTGAGGCAGGATGATGATTGAGAGTTCGAGACCAACGTGGGCTACAAAGTGAGCTCTAGATCAGCCTGAATTGCATGGCGAGACCCTGTCTCAAAAAGACAGAAAAAAAAAGTTACTCAGAGTACAAGATATAAGCATTTAATTGTCCAAACAATATTAGTGCAAACCTTTCTTTTCAGTGAACTAAGAGAAATTAGTAGTATAATTGTCTTGTGTGTGTGTGTGTGTGTATATATATATATATTTGCTTATCCCTTCTTTTCTCCTTTTCTGAATCCCAGTTTCTCTTTCCTTTTGAGCAATTTCTTCCCATTCTACAGTATCTATTTTATATTCTGGATCTTATTTGCTCTTTCAGCTTCTTACAGTAGGGAGACAGTACGATGTTTACACGTGTGTGTCTGGTTTATTTCACTTACGAGTATGGTCTTGAGTTGCATCCATTTGCCTATAAAAGTCTCCAGTTTATCTTCTTCATGGCTGAGTAGTCCAAGTGCTGGGATCACAAGTGTGCACCACCACGCTGTGCAGGCTTCATTAACTCCTGACAGAAGTTATAGTGTTGTAGTGGTTTAAGATTTTGTGATAGCTGGACATGCCTATAATTCCAGCATTGAGGGAGGCTGAGGCAGGAGAATTGCAAGTTCAGTTCCTGCCTCAGTTATTTATCAAGACTGTATCAAAATAAAAAATTTTAAAAAGACTAGAGATGTAGCTCAGTGGTGGGGCACCCCTGGGTTTGATTTCTTGTACTGAAAAACAAAAACCAAAAAAAAAGTCTGTCATGAGGGCTGGGTGTGTGGTATACACCTGTAATCCCAACAGTTGGGAGGCTGAAGCAAGAGGATCTCTATGAGTTTGAGACTGACCTAGTCTATGTAGTGAGTTCAAGGACAGACTAGACTGCATAGGGAGACATTGTCTCACACATACAAAAAAATTCTGTGATGAGCAGGAGAAATAATACTGTATTGTACCCTCAAGATGTTTTTCTACATTGGTTTTCAGAGGGGCATCTTACCTTTTATGTTGCTGTGTGCAGTGGTATTGGCAGTTAATGAGCCTTCAGAGCTGAATTTTTATCCTTGTTGGCACCATTTTCTTGTACCTACAGCTAGATGAAAAAAAATATTTCTGAATTAGATGTGTATTTATCTTTGCTGTACTGTCAGTGTAAAACTTACCTATAACCCTTTTGAGTTTTTTTTTTTTTTTTTTAATTATGGTACCTGGAATCGAACTCTGGACCTTGCGCTTGCCAGGCAGGCACTTGAGCTGCTGAGCTATATCCCCAGCACGCCCTTTTGAGTTTTTAAGCCAGTCTGAATGCATGACAGGTGCTCAGGTATACCAAATTTAGAACTCTTCTTAGATGGGTGTAGTGATGTATGCTTGTGATAGCACTTGGGAGACTAAAGCAGGAGGATCTCTTGAATTTAAGGCCATCCTGAACTAACTGTATAGCAAGATCCTGTCCCCGCAAAAAAGCAGCCCCTCAGCCCCCTAAAACCTCTTCTTGAATTCATTCCTTGGTTTTTCTTTATTAAAAAGAAAATATAGTTGTGCCCCAGGTGAAGAGTCTGAATTAGTAGGAAAACAGAACTTGGGCTTGGTCTGTAGAGTGCATGTGGTCACAGGTACAGGAACCTTTGGCAGTGCCCACAGTTTTCTTGAGTGTCCTACCTTCTGCCTTAGCTTTTCTGTGTATTTTTCCCTTCCTCCTAGGTGGACCGGCTAGAAGTCGTGAACAAACAGTTTGTGCGGGTTATTCCTGTCCCAGGAACCTCTTCTGAGGTGAGGAGTGGGTTTAAGACCTAGGACTCTAGACAGCTTTTTTGTAATGGGAAGTGTAGTTCCCTGTTTTTTCAGTAGAATGCCTCTGCCAGTGTCCAGCAGTCCATTATTGTGAAGTTTATCTTAGTGTCTTGTATTCGTATCCCTTTCTCTCAGGACTCTTACAAAACTATTAACTGTGACTCAGTTTTGCCAAGCAGTGTGTGAGAACACAGGCCAGAGTTTAGGAGAAGAATAGAAAAACAAAGAATAGAAGAATAGAAGGACTAAGGCAAACTTCGGCAGTTGTTGCACTATTGTATACTTTTATCTAGAACTCAGAGCATGTGGTTGTTTTTTTTTGGTACTGGGAATTGAACTTGTGACCTTGCACTTGCCAGGCAGGTGCTTTTGCCACTGAGCTATATCCCGGGCAAGCATGTACTTTTGTGAGGCCAAAACCAAGGATCTTCTGCTATTTGCAGTTACCCTTGGAGCCAGCCTTAGAGTGGGATTGGTCCATTTGTGTGGTCAGAACTAGGAGGAGGAACTCTGCTGAGGGAGGAGCTGGTGAATGAGTGTGCAGGCTATGTGTGTGTTTAGGCGGTGTGTTTTTGTGGGACACTGTCCTGCAGCCCAACCTTGCTATTCGTCTCTGCAGAAATTCGTGTGGTTCAACATTGGCAGCGTTGATACCTTTGAGCGGAACCTGGAGTCTGCTCAATGGGAGCTGGGGATCGAGCCCATCAACCGGGCTGCAGTAGTCTACACAACTGAGAATGATGGGTAAATGGTGGGATGAGGTGGGTGATGCAGCACTGTGGTTGTCTTGGTTACTTTTCTCTCATTGCTGATACAAAATACCTGACATCCAAAATAAAGGAAGGAAAGGTTTATTTAGCTTACAGTTTGGAGGTTTCAGTCTGTACTTGGCTGGCTCCAAGGCAGAGTGGCACATGGCAGAGGGCAACAGTTCATGGCAGCAGAAGATAGCAAAAGCACAAGAGCAAAAAGGGAGGAGAAGCAGCAAGGAACCTCTTTTCCTCCCTTACATTGTATGCAAACTATCCACCCCAGGTCAAGTGTAGCACTTGCATCCATAATCCCAGCATTGGACCATGGATCAATCATAAACTCTAAAAGCCCGCCCCATGACTGCATGAGGCTTTAGGGGGACACTCAGACACAAACCATAACAGCAGTTCCAGGGCCTCTTGATTGTGAATGCAAAAGTTTAGCATTTAACTTATTTTGGAATGTGCTTCTTTTCAAGCATAGTATAGCATCTGCTGAAATTTTTAATTCCTGTAATGAAGGAATATGTATTTAGTCTATTTTATTATTTTATTTTTTGAGGTTTTTACAAGGAATCGAACTTACGTCCTCGCGCTTGCCAGGCAGGCGCTGTGCCACTAACCTAAATCCCCAGCCCCTATTTTATTTTTTGAGATAAGGGTCTTGCTATATTGCCCAGGCTGGCCTCTGGAGGGCACAGGAACTCTCACCATTTTTACTGGTGCTCACTTACAAGGGAAAAATAAAATATAGTTGAAAGAAGAGATTCATCATGGAATAGAGAAAAGAGAAAGGCTGTGCCTGGTAGACACCATTGGCCTCAGCTGGCTGTGTGGGTCTGTGAGCTGCTGAGGAAGGTGTATGACTGAGGCACCTAAAGGTACTGCCCTCCCTACCTCAGCAAGCCAGCTGCAGGTGGGCTGGGACAAGGAAAGCTGAACCCATGCACTGATGTGGACATATTTTAGGAAGAAACCATCCCTTTGGTGCAGCACAAATTCTAGAGCTGTCTGCTCTTCCTGGCTGAAGGTAGTGTTGTGACCTTTCTCTGGAGCAAATGTTGACAAGTGGTTTTCATGATTTTCTAGCTCTTTCCTGCGAAGCCTGGTACCCACTCTTCTCCTGGTTGGCATCCTTCTCTATGCTGTGAGGAGGGGCCCAATGGGAGCCGGGCGTGGCAGGCGAGGAGGGGGCCTCTTCAGTGTTGGTGAGACAACAGCCAAGATCCTAAAGAACAACATGGATGTGCGATTTGCAGACGTAGCTGGCTGTGAAGAAGCCAAATTGGAAATTATGGAGTTTGTGAATTTCCTGAAGAACCCGAAGCAGTATCAGGACTTAGGAGCCAAAATTCTGAAGGTAGTCCTTTCTTTTTTCTTTTTTTTTTTTTTCTTTTGGTATCAGGAATTGAACTCACAACTTCATGGTTGCCAGGGAGGTGCTGTGCTGCTGAGCTACATTCCCCAGCCCATCCCAAAGGTACTGATTTCAGAAAATGTTAATGTTGAGCTTCAGGTCAAGGCTAACAACTGCTGTGGCTCAGAGGGGACAAATACTTTCTAAATTAATTTTTGCCCTGTGTATTTGCTTAATCATGGGGGGGATAGAAATAGCATTTTCAGAATAGCACAGCAAAAAATCTTAATCTGATGGATTTGAGACTGCAGTTCTTAACATCCTATGAAATTTTAAATGTGTAAACTGTGGGCATAGGAACAACAGATAGCCTTCTGAAGTTTATTTTATTTTATTTTATTTTTTATTTTTATTTTTTGTCTTTTTGAGACAGGGTCTCACTATGCAGTTCAGGCTGCCCTTGAGCTCACTTTGTAGCCCAGGCTGGTCTCAAACTCAACAATCCTCCTGCCTCAGCCTCCCAAGTGCTGGGATTACAGGCGTGCTCCACCACACCCGGTAGTACATTCATTTATTGCTCTTCATTTAAGGTCCAATCTTGGCTTTCAGTGATAAAAATTCTTTGTTAAATGTCCTATGTATGTATAGATTATTATTATTATTATTATTAATTTTAAAGAGTAAAAGAAGGATAACATAATAATAGGGGTTTACCAAATTACAGACAAAGTGGTAGGAAATTATCAATGATTATTGTTTTACATATTTTATCTATAAGATAGTTTCTCAGGAAAACAAATAGACAAATGATAGTGAGTTATAGACAAAAGAGGTAGGAGATTACCAATAGTTGTTGTACTATACTTAGGTATCTTCAGAGTGGCTTCTAAAGAATATAAATAGAACTATACATGAGTGACCTACTGAATAATCATTCAATAATTC